TTTAACACAAACTTCCATATCATGATGTTTTGTTTCTAAAACAACTGATTTTTAATAGGACTGCAGTGGCATTAATTTCTACAGATGCTTGTAGAATGCAAAATATTTTGGAAAAAAACCAACCATATCTCAACATAACTATGCTAGTATGTTGCAATGTATGTTATATAATATAGTAATTTTGAGAGTCAGAGTTGATAGTATATGTCATTTCTCTTTGTATTACCACTTTTTACATTTTGACCAGAGAGTGAGCGAATTCAGCAGTCCTAGTAAAACAGATCCTAAACATTTACTCGGGAATTTTGCATAAAGGACTCCATTATTGCATGGACACAACCCTTAGCATCTCCCCAGACCTTCCTGCATGACATGAGAGCTCTGGCTTCTTCTCTTCTCCTGTGTGTCTCAAGCATGCCTGCAATGCTGGACTGTGTCTCCTAATCCTCAGGGACACTGAGAGGCAAACGCACTGCGGACCTTTCCGAACGGAAGACCTATTTCCCATGGGATTACTGGGGCAAGACTTGCCAGCCTCAGAGATGCCCTCCAGCCTCATGCTCCTCCAGGGAGCRAGGTTCGGACTGTGACCCCTGAGGCTGATCTTAGATTCAGCAACCMCTAAATCAACTCAAAATAAATAACTTTCAAAAAGTTTTTAAAAACAAGAGACGTACCATATTCAAGAGGATTCCAGACTCTTGCTGTCGACATCCTTTGCACTGTTTCGCAGTGTTAGACACCTGATTTGCAAAAGCAAGCAAGTCTTCCACAGTCCCATATTTGACACATGACATCAGCGAAACTTCCCTTTCACAAAACAGCAGAGATTCGGCACGTTCTTCATTTTGATTTGTCTCTTCACACATTGCAATTATGCTGTCTTCATAAACTGCAAGGTCTCCCTCTGGGTAAAGGTTTTCCATAATGTTTATCACCTCAGACATATTTAAATTGGTTAGCAACAACTCAATTTCCTCTTTGCTATCACTACCAGTGCTCATATACTCCATTACTGTCCACTTTGCAAAACCACTCCTGAAAAAAAAGAAGCAAATAAACCTGAAATTTCTTCATCTAAAGTTGTCCCAGCAAAGCATGAATGAATGCTCATCATTATATAGTTAAATTTAAACCGACTATGTTGTATTATCATGAAGAAAAAAGGCATAATTAGTAAGCTGGGGGAAGAGGAGACAGAAAAAAAAAAGAGGTCTTTATTAGAGGAATTCTGATTGAAAGTTCTTAGTGGACATTCCCAATCATTCACTCTTGATTTTTTTATTATTAAAGATTTTCATCAGAGGTGCTGGCATAGGAAGGAAGCATGAACTAGTCATATTTTGCTAGGTTATGCAAAAATGAGGAATTATCCATCATACAGGTGAGACTATATAGAAAGCAATACAATAGGACAAATATATATATATATATAATATATACACACACAAACACACACATATATAAGAGTGGATTCATGATTTTGAAATGGAGAGGTGTTTTGCACAAGTTTAGCCCCAGAAGTCCTTCAGCAACTTATGCGATGTGTCCACAAAGAAGAGAAAGTCGTGGAGCAAGAGCATTAGAGCAGCAAAAAGCAACACCTAGTATCACTGTACAATGCACGAGGAAGACACCAACCGAAACAAACCACCCATTTGGGGGCATCATTATCATCCAGAACAGGATTTCAACAGAAATTTTCATCCACTAAAGAAGAAAATCAGGAACTGATTTATCATAAGAGCAATGAGCCTTTGTAGCAGTTCCCACCAGCTTGTTCTGCCTTTACTATTTCAAGCAGTAACTTTTAAGATAAATTCTGGGCATTTTACTAAAGGGAGCTTTAATGGCTGCAAACTGGATTCCTTGTCCCAGGCCATCCCCACCCATCCCAGACTCCTAACATGAGCCAGGGAGTTTTCACATTCATGTTAAAAAATACATATGTCATTWAAAAAAGTCATTAAAATACTTATACGAATAGCTTTCAACATGCAAATTCCAAGGAATGCTTACCTTATATTTACTCTGGTTACATCACACAAAAACATCAAAAATGCCTCAAGATAGTCCCTCAAGTTGTCACGTATCTTGCATCTGTATTCAGCAGCTGATGGTAACTTCACAGAGTGCTGTAGCAGTCTATTAAAAAAGCAAAACAAAGTGAGGCAGTGGCAGAGGTGCTCGAGCAGATGGACTCGTCTCTACTCGTATGATCATTTGCTTCACAGGCTTCGTGGAAAGAAAAACCAGTAATCACAATGCCGGGATAACAGGGGATTTTTGCAGGAAGCAAAAAGGACAGCTCAAACAAGACTCAAGCTGCTACACGATCATCTGGTTTTCCAAGTAGTACCAAAAAAATAAGCTTCTGAACAAAAAAGCAAGCTTCTGAACTTTATTCCTTCTGCCTGATGTCTTGCAAGCGACGAAGAAGAATCTCCTCCTCTAGCAGAAGTRGGTGAAACTCATCCTATTTACAGAGCTCTCATTTCCCATTTTCATAATCCACTGCGAACACCTCTTTTGGGCAAGAGACAGCAAAATGAAAAAAAAAAGAATTAAGGGGGGAAAAAAAAAAAAGGAAGGAGGAGATAAAAAGACCGAAGCACAACCTACGTATCTCCAGGACAAGCAGCAGCGCCAGTGCCCGGGCGCCCGAAGCGGCGCCTTTTACCGAGGCGCCGTCCCCGGCTCTGATCCTTATCTCCCTCGCCCTCCCGCGAGGCCGCGGCCGCCTCGCGGCGCGCCTTTCCCACGGCGTGGAGAGCACTTACGTCAGCTCGCACGTCCAAGAAAACGGAGCGAAACGAGGCGGCCGGCTGGGCAGCGCCGCGCGGGAGGCGGGAAAGCGGCGGCCGCGGCGGGGCCGGGTGCCCCGCGCGCCCCGCGTGCCACAGAGCCCCGCGTGCCCCGGGGTGCCCCGGAGCCCCGCGTGCCACAGAGCCCCGCGTGCCCTGGGGTGCCCCGGAGCCCCGCGTGCCCCGGGGTGCGCGGGGCCTCCGCGAGCCCTGGCGCGGCTCCTGGCGCCCCTTCCTCCCGCGCACCCTGGGCTAAGGAGCCTCCCCGGAGCCCCAGGGCCGAGCAAGCAACACCCGCACACTGGGGAAGCGCGAGAGAGAAAACCCGCGGTCACCAGCGCCAACGCAGCACATCTTGTACGTGGGGTGGCGGGGAGGGACGCGCTTATCTTCAACCTAGACACCAAGGAACAACACGAGGGTGCTCTTCAGCATCCCACCTTCACGCTCTAGCAGAGGCTGCTGSAGCAGCCTGAGAGTGTTTACCCTTTATAAAGGAGATTTTATCTTTCTTCATAGCAAGACTCCTATTCACTGCTTTTTGGTGCTCACTTGGTGGGGGAGTTGGGAAAGAAACGCTCCGTCCAGTCACAAGAGGAACTAAGAGACTGCACATGAAGAGTAAGGTCAGTTAGAAACAAGTCCCAGGGACTTTTTGGAAAACAGTACGAGCCTGCAGAAGTTTTAGTCCTTCCTGGACATCGACAAGTCACTGACAAGCTTATAGCAACTCGCTTTTTTTCCCCATGCATAAGCAAATTGCACAGTTCAGAGGAGAAGCAGCTTTCCACACACTGCAGCTCTGCACTGCTCCTCAGAAGGTCCCAGACCTGCAGCACGTTACTATGTCCAACAGTTGTATGGCGCACACAAAGCTCTGCATAGCCAGAAAAAAMCACCCTCCTCTCAGTTTTATGCTGTCAGTGCTTGAAAACGGCTTCATTTTTCCTGTATCTAGTAAACTCCAAATACTACATGTTTATGTACTGAGAACAGTTTCTAGGCTCTATAAAGCTGATTTTTTCTTTTAGTTGTGCAGTAACTTAYGGATTACAACTCCACCACTGGCAAAGATGGCCCATTGGACAGCAGTGAATTCATCCTCCCTTTCCTCCCTAGGTTCCTGCACAAACTATCTGCTCTGCGCACTTAAATAATGCCCTAAATCACTCTACACAGTCCAAGTGACTGAAGAATATATGCCACTATGTTTTACTTAAATCTTTAATGAAAAACAACACCAACAAAAATGCTTCAGGGTGCGGGGGAAAAAATGAAGAGTAAGCAGTTAAATCAGTTGATAAAGCACAAGATTCTTTCTCCACCTCTGTCCCTATTTCGACACCATCACATGAGCCGCGGGCACGCAAAGAGGTTCCTTCTCCGCTCGTCATGAGCAGCTTTGCCCTGAAAAGCCTTTTTCCGAGAAGACCATTACTTGAAAAATATCTTTACAGGCTGCATTAGAGGGCACGAGGTTAACTGCAGAGCTCATCCCTCTGAGCTCCAGCACGACTCGTTTTGCTTCTGTTTTTTCTGTGTCAAGAGTAAAATAAAATAAAATAAAAATAAAACAAAATAAAATAAAATAAAATAAAATAAAATAAAATAAAATAAAATAAAATAAAAAAATGCATAGACTGGCTCAGCACAACCACGTACCTACATAAGGATTTCTTGTATCCAATAATTTTCTGGGCTGACTGCATGCAGTTGGCCAGCAGTTGTG